TATTAATATTAGTGAAATAAATAACTGATGTAAAGTTTATATGACAAAACACATTTTTTATAGAGAACATTAAGAAAATACAAGAGTATTAACCAACTATTCATAAGAGAATTATGTAAGATTTCTGGATATTAGACTAATATAAAAATAATTTATATTCTATAAATTAGCAAAAATCAATTAGGAAATATAATTTTAATATGCCATTTTAAAACAACAAATACATGCTACTAATGAACCTAACTTGGTGTGCAAGGTCTTTACTGAGAAAAGTTTATAACTTAACTGAAAGACATTTAAACCCAAATAATCTTTATTAATATAAATAATCAATGTAACAAAGATTTTAAATCTTCTTAAATTTACCTATAAACTCAATGCAATGCCAACCACAATTTCAAGGTCTTCTATGGAATCGATGAGCTTATCATAACATTAATTTCCAAGAGTAAAGGACCAAGAATAACCAAATATTTCAAAATAGTTGGGAAAGGAACAAGTAGGAGAACACCTCCTAGCTGGTCTCAAAGTTTATTGAGCCTTTGCAGTTTGTGCAGTGCTGTACTGGAGACCATTGTCAATACCCACTTAAGTGCCAGCAATGTAGTCATTTGGGACAGACAAAAGCTGTCATCAATCAAAGCTAGAAAATCCAAATAAAATACAACAAAACAGTGCTTAAGAGCATCAGAGATTCAAAGCAACAAAGACTAGAGCAGTGATGGTGAACCTTTTGAACTCGGCGTGTCAGCTTTTTGAAAAACCCTAACTTAACTCTGGTGCCGTGTCACATATAGAAATTTTTGATATTTGCAACCATAGTAAAACAAAGATGTATATTTTTGATATTTATTTTATATATTTAAATGCCATTTAACAAAGAAAAATCAACCAAAAAAATGAGTTCGTGTGTCATAGGTTCGCCATTACTGCTCTATACACTGGATGCTTCCAAGACAGCAAAAGCCAAAAGCTTCCAGGTCTCTTAAAGACCAGTTTCAGAACTGGCACTATATCAAGTCCTTTATTCAAGGAGAGGAGATATATGGTCCACTCCTCAATCGGGGTAGAGGCATGCATGTAAAAGGGGAGTGGGGACGGGGGGAGGAATAGTTGTTGGCCATTTTTCAAGTCAATGTACCACTCCAAGAAACAGCATATCCCTGCCCTAACCGGTTTGGCTCAGTGGATAGAGCGTCAGCCTGCGGACTCAAGGGTCCCAGGTTCGATTCCGGTCAAGGGCATGTACCTTAGTTGCGGGCACATCCCCAGTAGGAGGTGTGCAGGAGGCAGCTGATGGATGTTTCTCTCTCATTGATGTTTCTCACTTTCTATCCCTCTCCCTTCCTCTCTGTAAAAAATCAATAAAATATATTTTAAAAAAAGAAAGAAACAGCATATCACCAAAACTAAGAGAAAACAAAACAACCTTGAAAGTAGAAACAGACCCACAGGTGATTTGGATGCTGGAGTTTTGAAAAGGGGTTGGAATATTTGAAGGTGTTGATAATGGAGCTTGAGGGTGGGGGGAGTTAATAGAAACATGGGCTTTGCAGTTACATAGCATGGATTCAGATTTTTCTTCAATTGCAGTAAGAAGCAAATGAGGAATTTTAAGAAAAGAAGGTATTTGATCTGATTTTCTTTGGGTAAAACAGTTTGGAGTAGAGTAGGAAGAGCATCATTAGACTGGACTAGTTCAGGAGAGAAATGACAGTGGCTTGGATACTGGGCAGGAAGGAGAAATGAAAAAGAGAGTGTTTCTTTGTTATCCTTTCAAGGAGAAAACATTAATTTGTAGGTGGGACATAATGCAGGAAGGTTATTTTTTAAATTGCTTTGAATGAAATCTGAATTTAGAGGCACCATACTCTAAGTCATTCTTTAATTGATGTATAAAATGGATATTCAAACATACATATCTCATGGAAAGTTAATTATCACAAATTGAACATACATAGATAACCTTTAGGTATTAAGTCCTCTTTCCTTTCCAAAGGTAACCACTATCCTGAGTCCAAATGTAGAATAGTTTTGCCTGATTTTGAAATTTATATAAAGGAAATCTTTTAATGTGCTTTCTTTTTGTATCTGCCTTCGTTTATGGCATTATATCTATTTCTTTTTCTTACATCTACCCCCTTCATCCATTTCACTCTATCTTCAGTCAAAGAATTTATACACCTAACTTAAAAAGTATCTTTGTTCTGAGAACTAATAGGATGATGATGGAACAGAAACACTAGTTTTAAATCACAATAAGTTTGGACATTGATTAACATGTTAAGCGCCATGTCAGTCACCGGTGTCTGACACTATACTTTACATCGGGATTGGTCAGTCGATGGTGTTGCCAGCATATTGGTGAAATCAGATATTGAGGGCTAAACGGAAAGGAAGACAAAACAGGCTTGGCGCTTAACGTGTTAATGTGTTACTCCTGAGTGAGACTATTTTAATAATCCTATATAATAAATGGGTAATATACAAATTGACCCTAACAGCAGAACAACCAGAGCAACTGATGGACCAGTCACTGTGAGGCACACTGACCAAGTCCCATCCCCCGGGGGCAGGCTCCCATTGTCTGATGGCTAAAGGGGAACTGAAGGTGGGTGGCGGAGGATGTGGGAGGCACCAGGCCAAGACCCCTGCACCGCTGGTCGCCCCACAACCAGAGGGCACCCTACAGCAGGAGCTAGGCAGGAATGGCCAACCTCTCGGTCTCTCCACCCAGCTGCAGGCTCCGATTGTCCATGGGGTACCAGTTTCCATTAGTGGGAAGAAGATACAATAGAACAGCCTGGAAAAGGAAAATCTTTTTCCTTATTGATTCTTTATTGCCGGGCTCTAGAGAAATAATGGCCAGGTCCCCTGCTGGGTCCCTCGGAATCCCATCTCTCCTCCTCTGCTGAACCCTGCTGATCATCAGGTGTCCCAAGAGCAGGAGGGAGGGGAAAGCTGGACTTAGCAATGCCACCCACCTGACGGACAGGGGTAGCAGGGGGATGTGGTGACCATATACAGACTTTGGAGTCACACAGACTCTGCCAGTTAGAACTGTGTAACCTCTCTGAGCCTTGGTTTCTTCATCTATAAAATGAGTATGATAATAGTACCAGCCTCATTGGAATGTTACAGCATGTGCATAAGATTATGCATGTAAGGCTCTCAGCCCAGTGCTTGACAGGTACTAAGTGCTCACTGTTGCCACTGTGATTATCTGCCCCCTGCCCTCACTGGGCCCGTGAACACCAGTGCTTAACTGGCAAGGTAGGCAGGTGGGGAAATTGCCTGCTCCATGTCCTGGGGCCCCTGGGGGAACTCAGATTCCGGATTCCGGATTCCGGATACACGGGCAAGATGGCTCTGCAACATGAAACCCCTGAGGGTCAGGAGTCCAGCCTGGTCCCAGCATGTGCCCTTGAGTCTCTGGGGCAATAACTGCTGCCTCCTCTCTTCCTGGCACTGTCCTGTCCTGCCTCAGTTGTCACTCACTCCTGGAATCCCTGCGTCATCTGTGTGCACATCTGTTCCCCAGTAGCCCACACTCCATGTGCCTCCCAGCTCTTCCCTGCACTTGGGAAAATCACTTAACCACTCTGCGCCTTTGTTTCCTCATCTGACAGCTGGGAATAATAGTGCCGGCCTCCTGGGGTTGTGGATCAAAGCAGGTCACCAGGTGAAGCACAAGTGCTGGGGCCTGTTTTAAGTGGCCATTCAGTGCCAGCTGTTCTGTTACTACTGCTGAAAGGCGAGTCTCCTAGGAGTAGGGGTATGTGGGGTGCCCCTATCCTGTGAAAACCCTGAATGAGAATCTTCAGCCTCTTTCAGAAACTAGGAGCTTATTAGCATAATAATCCACCTGTGAAGGACCTTTTGACTCCTATAAGCATTAACAACAAAGAGTAAAAAGCCTGAGGCCTAGATGTCTGTCCTGTATACCAATAGGTTGCTGGTTAGGTTCCCTGTCAGGGCACATGCCCAGATTGTGGGATCAATATTTCTCTTTCTCTCTTTCTTCCTCTCTCTCTCTCAAACAAATAAAAACATATTTTAAAAAATAAAGTTAGAAGTGAAGCCATTATGGTCCCATGGCTGCAAACTCTAGAAGAAAACATAACTCAACAAGAATAAGAGACTCTTAAAAAAAGAAATTACAGCAATAAAAATAACAGAATTCCAATGAGGAAGAAAACGGGCATCTAAAAGAATCGATGTGGCTAGAGGGGAAATCACTAATGAGCCTAGATTTTAAAACTCAAACTGGGAAAAATGTATTTGCAGCAAATAGTCAATAAATGGTTAGTATCTTTAACATATAAAGAGCTCACACAAATCCTATATAATAAAAGCCTAATATGCAAATTGACTGAACTATGGAACAACTGGTGGAATAACTGGTCGCTGTGATGCACACTGACCACCAGGGGGCAGAAGATCAACTCAGATGATCAGCTCAGCCAGAAGCTAGCTCATGGCTGGAGAGCGCAGCAGCTGTGGTGGGAGCCTCTCCTGCCTCTGTGGCAGCGCTAAGGAGCAGTGAGCTGAGAGGTAAGGAGCAGCAAGCAGGCAGCTAGAAAGGAGCAAAGGGTCCCGGGCTATGAGAGGGCGCAGGCCGGGCTGAGGGACCTCCCCCTCCAGTGCACTGATTTCGTGTACTTAGCCTCTAGTAACTAATAAAAGGAGGAGAATGGAGGCAAATGCCAATAAAATTTCAACTTGTAGTTCTTTGTATAGTAGCAACTATCTACTGTATAGCAGCACCCTGGATCACAGTTATACCTCACTTCCACCTGTCCTTTAGCCTCAGAGGGAAAATAATCAGTGAAGAAGGGAGGGATTATCTGAGTTTATGATTTATGACAAATGAGTTATATCATCAGAGAGCAGCAATCAAATCTTCTTCATAAATTCTCTATAAACTTGAGGAGATCTAAATTTGAAAATATAATGAATTTATGGAAACTTTGCTCTCCAAATAGGAAATTACCATTTACTTTTTTCATTTTGCTTACTGCAGAGGCTGATTTCACAAGTGTCTTCTTTTCCGCACATAGAGCAGGATGCTCCTTCAGTGTAAGGGCGGGCCCCTGCATAATTTCCTCTGTAAAAAAAGGAAACATTGGGTAGCCAAATGGCTATTTACTCTTCTAATTTTGTGCATTTACTTATTTTTGGTTGCTCATTAAGTCATGAATGTTGAAAATGACTTTTGTCCCAATTTTATGCTAATTTGTTTTATAAAAGGATACTTTAAAACTGATCTCTACAGTGTGGTCTCAATATGTCAAAGTTATATCCTTTAAAATAAAAATTTTTATTGATTTTTTTAGAGAGCAAGGAAGAGAGGGAGAGAGGGAGATTAATTTGTTGTTTCACTTATGTATTCATTCATTGGTTGGTTGATTCTTGTATTAAAACTGCAACCTTGATGAGCAAGACCGACATTCTAACCAACTGAGCCACCCAGCCAAGGAGTTATATTTTTTACTATGCAATAAAACATAAATTCGATATGAAACCAGTGTAGTTATGTATGTGAAAGCCAAAGTTATTTTTTGTTTGTCGGTTGTAGAACACTAAGATTATCTTTTTATTTTGTAAATGGAATAAGCAAAATTTAAATAGCAAATAGAAACATGCTTTATGGATTGCTTTAAAAGTATAATATCATCATCCTTATCGAGTCCTGTTTGATGATATACCAAAGTAATGGTACCATTTGGACAACCATTTGACAGATATTATGCCTGCTTTTCAATAGTATAAGCTGATACATTCTAACAAACCTGCTTTTTTTCCATCTCAGTGTTTGTGGTAGACTTTATAAATGTTACTTAGAGTACCCAGAGAAAACATTAATAACATTAGCAGCACTCCATTAAAGAATAAGCCACAATTCATTTATCCACCCATCCGTTTATGGACATTTGTGTTGTTCCAGTTTTTGACTATTACATATTAAAGTACTATGCACATTTTGAATATTTATATAAGTCTCCTTATGGGCATACATTTCCTTGACTACGTATCTAGGAGTGAAATAAATAGATCATATGGTCAGTACATATTTAACTTTTTAAGAAATTTCTACACTGTGTGCAAAATATTTGTGACACTTTATATTCCCACCAGCTGTGGTGGAGAATGCTAGTCCCTTCACATCTTCCCTCTGGATTTAGAATGGCCAATCTTTAGCCAAATTGTTGTGTAGCGATATTCATTGTGGTTTTAATTTGTATTTCCTTAATGATTAATGATACTGAGGTTTTTATCATTGCTTTTTTGCCATCTGAAAATTTTCTTTATTAACCTTTTTTTCATCTTTTTATTATTTTAAGTATTCTTCATATTGAATTGTAACAGTTCTCCCTATATTCTTGATACAAGTCTTTTATCTGATATGTTTTGCAAAGACTTTCTTTTACTCTGTAGCTTATCTTTTCATTCTCTTAGCAATGTCTTTGAATAGTTGTAATTGTAATTTTAATGCAATCCAACACGTCAATTTGTTCTTTTATGGATCATGCTTTTGGTGTGGTAGCTAAAAATTGTTGGCTATGTTAAGGGCACAAAGTTTTTATAGTTTAGGTTTTACATTTAGCTCATAGATTAATTTTGAGTTATTATTATAGGTTTTATTTTATGCAGATTCATGTTTGCTTTTATATATGTACTAGTAGCCCTGTGCACAAATCCATGCACCAGCATCTCTCTGCAAGGCCTGTCTGCTCCGTGCCCGCTTCCCAGAGGCTCTCCGTGGCCTAGAGGCACAACTGCGGCCGGGTGCAGAACACTTGCCTCATAGCCAGGGCAATGATGCAAGCGTTCCCACCTCCTTCCCCCCCGGCCGCTCTGTGCCCGCTGCCCAGAGGACTTCCATGGCAGGGGTAGAATGCTTGCCTCATCACCATGGCAACGAAGCAAGCATTCCACAATGCCACTCACGCTACCTGCTCTCAGTGGACGCCTCCCTGGGACTGGGGGATTCTGGCGGGGCTGAGAGGACTGGGCACCACAATCTTTGTGATGGATTGACAGTTAATTTGCATATCACCCATTATTAGATAGGATATCCTATCTAATAAAGAGAGAATATGCTAATTGACCCTCACACCATCGCATAGATGGTGCCACCCACAGCCAATAAGGAGGGAATATGCTAATTTTCTGCTCCGCCCTCAAAGATGGCAGCACCCACATCCAATAAGGAAGGAATATGCTAATTGACTTCCACGCCATCAAAGATGGCAGTGCCCAAAGCCACTGCATGGTGCCCAGTCCTCACAGCCCCCCAGCCATGCAGGGCTGGCCTGAGGGATGACCAAATGACTGAACAGCAGGCTGTGTTGGGAGACCAGGCCAGCAGGGGGTGTTAGTGAGGGATGACCAAACGACTTGAACAGTAGGCTGCGTGGGGTGACCAGGCCGGCAGGGGGGCTGTGAGGGGCGACCAGGCTGGCAGGGGGGCAATTGGGGGCAACCAGTCCAGCAGGTATGCCGGTGGGGGGGCAGTTGGGAGTGACCAGGCCAACAGGGGGTCAGTTAGGAGTGACCAGGTCAGCAGGGAGGGGGCAGTTGGGAGCAAACAGGCCAGCAGCAGGGGGCAGTTAAGGGCAACCAGGCCAGCAGGGGGGGAAGTTAGGGGCAACCAGGCAGGCAGGCAGGTGAGCAATCAGAAACCAGTGGCCCAGGATTGTAAGAGGGATCCCGGATTGGAGAGGCTGCAGGCTGGGCTGAGGAGACTCCCTTGTGCATGAATTTCGTGCACTGAGCTTCTAGTCCTTTCCAATAAAAGAGTAATATGCAAATTGACCATCACTCCAACATACAAGATGGCCATCCCGATGTGGTCAAAGATGGCCAGCAGGGGAGGGCAGTTGAGGGGAACCAGGCCTGAAGGGGAGGGTAGTTGGTCTCGACCAGGCGTGCTGGGAAGGGGAGTTTTGGGGGACCAGGCAGGAAGGGGAGGGCAGTTGGGGGGGACCAGGCAGGAAGGGGAGGGCAGTTGGGGGCAATCAGGCTGGCAGGGGAGTGGTTAGAGGCAATCAGGCAGGCAGGCAGGAGAGCGGTTGGGAGCCAGCAGTCCTGGATTGTGATAGGGATGTCTGACTGCCCGTTGAGGCCCGATCCCACCAGAATTGGAGAGGGTGCAGGCTGTGCTGAGGGACACACCCCTCCCCATGCACAAATTTCGGCTTTGTCTGGAAGGTCATCAGGACAGTTATTTCGCTGTTCCTCCATTCGGTCAATTTGCATATTACACTTTTATTATATCTATATCTATATCTATATCTATATCTATATCTATATCATATATATATATATATATGTATATAGATGTATATATAGATGTAGCTAGATAGCATTTTGTTCCAGCAGCATTTGTTGAAAAATTTCTTTTCTACTGCATTGTCTTTTTATATCTATTAAAAATCAGTTGAACACATGTGGTCAACCATGTGTAGATTTAATTTTGAACCCCTTATTCTGTTCTATTGATCTATATGTCTAACTTTATGTCAATATCACAATGTTGTGATTATTCTAGCTATAATAAGTCTTGAAAACAATAGTGTCAGTCCTCCAAATTTGTTCTTTTTCTTAGTTGTTTTGGCTAGTTTAAGTCCCTTGCATTCCCATATCAATTTTAGTATCAAGGTTTCTCAACACTTACAATAAAGGCCTGCCAGGATATTTATAATTGTGTTGAATATATATATCAATTTAGTGAAAAATTACATTTTATCAATATTTAGTCATTTATCCTATTAAAAAGGTATATTTATTTATTTGTATATGTTAATTTATTTCATGAAGATTTTATAACTTTCAACGTACCGGTCCTTCATACCTTCTGTCAGAATTATCCCTAGATAATAGATATATAATGCAATATTTATACCATCTTTATTTGTAAAAATAACCATCTGAATGCATTCCCATAGTATATTACAGTTAAGTACTCATTACATTATTAACATTCAGTAGTTGAAAAAGTATAAAACTGTGCTTGAGAGGATTCAGATTGGTTCAAAGTCATTCACTGAACTCAGTCATTTTCCTCATTTTTACAGTCATAGCATTTATCAGCGTCATTCAACCCTAATTTACATAAGAACACATTACAGGCAAAATCCCACTGAAATCATCAAACAATAGTTTATGCTGTTACAAATATATTATGCAAAATAGAACACTGGCACCACATTTGCATCATCCTGCTTCACAAAGATATATTGCATATAATAATCTATATTTTTAAGCTATTATGAATGATAATGCCATTTTATTTCAGCTTCTAATTGTTCATTGCCAGAATATGGGTATGTAATTGAGTTTTGTATCTTGATATTGTATCCTGAAAAATGTCTAAACTTACCTATTAGTTCTAGAAGAGCTTTCATAGACTCCATTAGATTTTCTACATACTAGATCTACAGACCTGCAGTTAGCTAAGTATGACCCATAGCTAAGAATTAATTTTTTTATATTTAAGGGGTTATTTAAAATACAAAAAAACAAAGATGGATATGTAACAGAATGCATGTGTTCTGCAAACCTAACATTTTTGCTATCTGTACTTTACAGAAAAATGTTTTGCTGTTAGCCTTAACATTACATGCAGGTTTTCCACAGATGCCCTTTATTAGGTTGAAGATGTTGCCTTCTGTTTCTAGCAGGCAGAGAACTTTCACTATGAATGAATGTTTGTCTTTTACCCCATCCAGTGAGATGATCAGATGATCTTTATTTTTAGGTTGATTGATATGGCCAATTACATCAATTGATTTGAGAGACTTAAACCAGGCCTATATTCCTTGAATAAACTCCATTTGGACAAGATGCATTATGCTTTACTATCTTATTGTATTCAATTGCTAAATTTTGTTTCAAAATTTTCTACCTATATTCATAAGAGATACTGCTCTGTAGTTATCTTTTCATTTTATTTCTCCTGCTTAATTTGTGTCTTTTGAGGAATTTGTTCACTTCATCCAAGTTGTCTCTTGAATACTTACCCCCATTATTATTTTGAATGGCCTTCTTTATCCCTGGCAACATTTTTTGCTCTGAAATTAATATTACCTGATATCAATATACACAATGCAGGTTTATTTTGCCAAATGTTAGTATAGAAAAGCTTTTTCCATCCTTTTGCTTTTCATGTTTTTATATTTAAAGTGCTAGAGGCCCATTGCACAAATTTGTGCACGGGTGGGGTCCGGCTGGCCCACCCCTATCAGGTTGATTGGGGCAGGCTGGCGGGGGAAGGGGCCCCATGTGATTGGCAGGCTGGCCCCACCCCCCTTTGGGGTGGTAGGGCCCATTGGAGTGGGGCAGGCCTAGGGGAGGGGTTGCAGGTGATTTTCTGGCCGGTCCTGCCCCCTATTGAGGTATGGGGGCCAATCAGGGTGGGGCTGGCCATAGGAAGGCACCACAGGCAGTTGTAGGGCTGGCCCTGCCCCCTGGTCAAACTCTCAATCAAGGGGACAATTTGCATATTAGCATATATAACATGCTTTTTGTAGGAAGCATATGATTGTTTCTTGATTTTTTATCTAATCTCACAATCTCTGCCTTTTCATTTGGGTGTTTGTAGCATTTATATTTGATGTGATTATTAACATAGTTAAAATTGATGCTATCATTTTCTTATTTATTCTTTGTTGCATCTGTCGTTTGTTTTTCTTTTTAAGTTATGCATGTGTCATACTCATTCCTGTTGCTAACTGAGAAGGAGTAGAATAAATACAGGAGGAGATATACACATATGTACTCTCCTTAGCAATTTTGACATATCTCAGCTTCTTTTTATGAATCCTGTATATTTATTCTATGCTTAGATTTTCATCTTTTGTATATTTTACTTTAATATTTTTGTTTGTTAAATGGTTGGGTTGTGGGTGGATTTTATCTTCTTTCTTGTACAGATCAATGGGATTAGAGCTCCACAATTTTATTTTTGTAGCCTCCCATTAGGCTTATGTTATATTTCCACTTAGATGCACAATAATAAAAAAGGCAATAAAACTTACGGTATTTTTTTTCAAAAAATGTGCTTTTCCCTATCATTCAGAATCACTTGCTCATTCCAGTTATGTTATGCTATATTAGGAAAGCATCTGCCAGTCTATTTTGTGTTCTAGTACTTAGCGTGGTGATGCATTTTACGTTATCTGTTGTTCTATTTAACAAAGAATGTCCATCATTTTTACTCTTAACTGTAAATATCTCATGGTAGGTATAATTCTTTACACAAGGTAATAGTCTCTCACCACTTTCTATTTTCATTTTTTCTTTTATTATCATTACTAGAGGCCCGGTGCACAAAAATTTGTGCACTCGGGGGGCGGGGGGAGGGGGGTCCCCCAGCCCGGCCTGTGCCCTCTCGCAGTCTGGGACCCCTCGGGAGATAACGACCTGCTGGCTTAGGCCTGCTCCCGGGTGGCAGAGGGCAGACCCAATCCCTAGGTGCAGCCCTTGGTCAGGCTCAGAGCAGGGCCGACTGGGGAGTTGGGGCGCCGCCCCGTCATGCACAGAGCAGGG